CAAAAAGAACCAAACCAAAACCAAAATTCAAAACCTACCCCTCTGTAATTGAACAAATTAAACCTTATAATGTCTCTACTAATATCCTAAATATAATGTTCTCTGCCACTATTAGACAATGGTTATAACTCTCTGCACAGTATAAAAATCTTGCAAAAATTTTGTAAAAAAAAAAGAAACCTATTACTAAACCAAACCAAGCTGAAACTAATTACTCCAAAAAGAAAACAGCAATAAAATATTATATTCAAATTAAAGGAAACTCTGTTGTTGCTATCCTTGATTCAGGAGCAGCTGTAAGCATAATCACAGCCAAGCTTATAAGAAAATTAGAACTTCAAATCCAAAAATCCTTCAAAACTATTGTGGTTACTGCTAATGGAAATCATACCAAAGCCTTAGGAATTATATCTGATTTGAAGATTACTATTCAGAATATTATTATTTCTATTAATCTCCAAGTAATAGAATCTATGAATGAACCTCTTTTTCTGGAAACAGATTGGTTCAACAAGTCAAGAGCCAAATTGGACTTTGAAAACAATACTTTAAATATTTGATACTTAGGAAAAAAAGCTACTACCAATGCTACTTATACTACCAACTCCTACCTTATCTTAGACAAAATAGATAAGGATAAAAAAAATTAATAGATCAATGAGCTAGATAAAGAAGAAAAAATAGAAACCTATCATTTAGAAGAATAGCTTTCTGTAATTAATAAAATGTATTACAATTCCTGATCAGAAATAAAGGCTACTTCTGTCTTTTATCTAACCTAATTATTAGAAGAAAAGATCTATTCTATGGGGAATCCAAACTTAAATATGAATTATGAACTTACCCAAGACCAACATACTCAAGCTGAACAACTCTTAATAGAAAATATCCTAGAAGATGAACAGTCCAAAGAATTAGGACAAACCAATATTATTTGTTATAAAATTAACACAAATAACTACAACTCTATTAAACAAAGAGCCTATCAATACCCTTCTGATGAACAAGACTTTTTGCAAAAAGAAATTCAAGCAATGTGAGAAAAAGGAATCATTAAAGAATCCTTTGGACCCTGGTCTCTCTTGTTGTACTTGTGCCAAAGAAAAATGGCTGAAAGAGACTTTGCATTGACTATAGAAAACTCAATGCTATTACAGAAAAAGATGTATATTTACTACTAACTATCTAGGAAATCTTAAACTCATTCAATGGAGCCTCTTGGTTTACTAGCTTAGATTTAGCCAGTGGATATTGGCAAGTTGCTATGAAGGAAGAAGATAAAAAGAAAACTGCCTTTATTACAAAATAGAGAACATATAAGTTTAATGTCATGCCTTTTAGACTCACTAATGCATTTGCAACTTTCTAAAGATTAATGGATAAAATCCTTCACCTCTTTATCAACAAATTTGTAGTAGTATACCTAGATGATATTACTATTTACTCCAAAACCTTTTAAGAACATTTGAATCATGTTCAACAAGTTATGAATATTCTAAAAAAAGCCAACTTAAAATTAAACTTGGCAAAATGTTATTTCTTTCTAAATAACATCAAGTTTCTAGAATATATTATTGGAAAAAATGGAATTAAAACAGATGAAAGACTGATAGAAAAATTAAAAATTTTCTAGAACCTATTAATCTTAGACAACTAAGAGGATTTTTAGAAATTGCCTCTTATTACTAATGATTTATAGAAGGATTTTCTAAAATTGCCAAACTTTTGAACCAGCTACTGAAGAAAGATGAACCCTATCTATAGACAGAAAAACATTAACAAGTCTTTAATACTCTTAAAAATTACCTTATCTCAGATTCTATCTTACAATATTCTGACTTTAATCGACCTTTCTATCTGCATAATAATGCTTCAAACTCAGGATTAGAAGCAGTTCTATTCCAATTAAATGATAATCACAAGAAATATGTCATTGCTTATGCTAATAGAAGTTTAAATAATGCTGAACAAAATTATTCTACTATTGACTTAGAATGTTTAGCTGTTATATAAGCTATTGAACATTTTTACTAATATTTAGAAGCCAAACATTTCTTTCTTATTATTGACCATTCTGTCTTGTAATGGTTAAGAACTTCCAAGCTTAAAGAAAAAAGAGCAAATAGGTTATGAAACTAGAATCTTATAACTTTACTATAATTCATCATCTTGAAAGAAAACATAATAATGCTGATGTTTTATCAAAAATGTATAAACAAGAAACCAACATGATTCTAACAAAAGATGATGATGAATTCTCTTCTGAAACTGAAGTTCTTCAAATTGATATACAAAGAAGATTAGTAAAAATAGAATCTTTTTGTACCAGAATCAACAATTTGAATAATTAGCTGTCATATTGAAACCAAACTTACTTTCTATTGCAGAACAGAATACCAAACCCTATACTAAACTTGAAGTATTTTCTAATGGTTTTAAATGTAATAATGAACTATTATTTAATTGAAGTTATATCCAACAACTCTTTCAGAAATATAGAAGAAATATTGGAAAGAATAAATATCCAATTAGTTGAAAAGGCCTCAATACCCAATGCTGATGTCAACATATTCACCTACATCCTTAATCTACCTGCTACCAATGCAAAAGAGACTGTTTTATCTGAGTAACTCTTAAAAGAACCTCTTTAAATATAATAATTAAATGCTTTCTAGAACAATTTTTAGTTCCTAAAATTAGTGATGAAGAAATTAAAATCTTTCATATAACCACCATAGAAGATGTTGAAGAAACTTCTACAAATATACAAGATACAATGGACTCATTTGAATATCAAAACATAATGAAAACTCTTGCATCAACCCTATCTAAATATATTACTATCTTCTTACAACTCTATCCAAATGTGAAATTTAGTCAAGAAGAAATCCACTATAGTAGAATGCATTGTACCTGGTTCTATATTGAATATATCAGTACCTGACTATTCCAAAAATCCAATAGAAGAGACTGGCCTAAAAATTGAAAAGAACCAACAGCTCAATGTTGGTATGGAGATAAACTTTACTCACCATCTGATGAATGCTCCAAATGTCATATTAACCTCTAGTTATAGCATATCATTAAACAATGTTTTTTAGAAGAAATTGCTAAATGTTACTGGCCTATACCTGATAATAAAAACCATGATACCTGGGATGACCTTATTGAAGAAGCTGATCAAATCCAACCTAAAATAAACCTTATCAAAGACATCCTAATTGAAAATTCTTTCAGAAGACCAGAAAGTGACAGCCAGTATTTGCTAAGTGATTATAATCCTAATAAAAAGATAGATACTTTTAGTAATGCAGAATTTGATGATACTAGTGATCTTAATATAAAAGTAGTATTAGTTAATAGACCTTGGTAGTTCTCTTTTTTAGAAACACTTTTCTTAGAATATTATTTAGAATTTAATAACTATTCAGAACACTATCTATGTAATGTAGTTTGGTGGTAAGTAGTTAATTCAACTTATTATTATTATTAGTTATTTTATTTATATATTATATTCATATTTTATTAAAAAGAAAAAAAATAAACAAAAACAAAAAAAAAAGATAAAAACAAATAATAACAAAAAAATATATATACAAAAAGAAAAGAAAAGACAAAAAATATATATAATATATATATAACAAATTAAAAACCAACACTTGAAATTCTATCTCTATTATTATTATTCTCTTTCCTTCTTCTTTCTTTTGTCCTTAATCTTCTCAACTCTTCCTCATTATTTGGGTGAGTTCACAGCAAAACCATGCTTAGAGAAGTTCTAACCGAAATTGTGATTTTTTATTGGATTATATTCCTAAATGCATGTTTTATCTATGCTAAAAATTTTATTATGTAATACCATATTATAATTTGGTTTAATACTTTGTGCAGTTTTTTATCAGTGTCAATATTTTCATTCTAAATTTAGATTTATAGTTAGCATAATAATGAAGTTATATATAACATTATGTAGGAATGATATAATTGTTTTATAATAATAATTAATTAATGTCTTTATTTGAGATAAATTTTTACTCATGTGAAATGAAGCATAATTCATCTTTATAAGGATCATGCACATATAGATGAATATCCTTATATAATTATTTCTGATATTTCAAAGGTAAAGGTTTTAAAGGAATTGTATTTAATGGTTGATAAGGGTCAAAATAAATATTATTTTGAATTGTGGCTTCCACTTTCTGACCATTAGATTCTAGTGACATAAATACCTTTTCAGATTTATCACTATAAAAGTAAAAATGCTGAAATGCCTGAATGCCATTATACTTAACAAAATGAGGTTCAAGAAATATTTCAAAATCATAATAATTCTATCCTGTTTGATTTTTTAAATTATATCGAATTGCTATATTGCTTTTTTTTTTAGTCGACTCATTAACAACAGCTTCAACATGATCCATACTCATAACATTGCATCTATGATATAAAGACTTAATTTTTCCAAAATATGCATCACAAATGAACTTAGTATGACCAGAAATCATAAAATTAAGTTCAATTGTATCAAAATGTTTAATTATAGTAAGCTATGAATAAAACCAGAGAGTGAGATTATTCTTATTTTGGTTACTACAATTATCATGTATGACTTTTAAGTGTTTTTGCATGAAATTCCAATTAAGTAAACTGTTGTATACAAGATTCAAAGTCATATTAGCACCTTTAGGTGTTTTTATTAGTAATTGATGTTCACCAATTATATAATTCCTTTGTATTGCAGGTTCTAAACAGGTATTCATAACTTCAAAAACATGAACATTAAATGGCGATTTAAAAAATAAACCTCCAGGTTGTTATAACGAATAAGGAATTGGTACATTTTGAGCCCAATCATAACAAATATGCACAGTATTTAATTTTGGGTTCCTACTCATGTCAATACTTTCATTATAGTGTTGACACTTGATTGTTGCAGCTGTCCGATGAAGATCATATTTACCTTGATATTTTTGTTTGCTTTCAACATTCTTAGCAAGTCAAATTTTAATATGAAGTTGCTCACATCTATCATATAAATCTGATGCTTTAGTCATAAATCGAATATCAGGTGCAACTTCATGCCAAATTTGAGTGAATGTTGTATAAGCTATAGGTTTATAATTATCTTCTTTATTGGACTTGATAGTAGAAATATAGGCTTCATATACACTAGTATATGTTATATCTATTGGAAGAGAAATAATAGGCATGGCATTATTTTTCATATTTCAACCTAGAGACAGAAATCCATAAATATTTGCATAGTTATGAAGATAATTATTAATATCTTGTTTTATATTGTCATCGATTATAGCACAATCAGATCGAATCGAAGTATGTCCTGTATTACCATGGATTATTTCTACTATTCCATTATTTTTAAAATGCGATTTGATTTAGTCAAGTCAATATGAAAAAATTCCAATTAATTTCAGATAAGTAGATATACACACAGTGTGTTGAGCATTATAATGATATTGATATTTAATGTAATTATCTGTTATAGAATTATCAGATTCTTGTAGTTTATTATATGCAAATGATGCAAGTTGTCTGATGATCCAGGTATCTAAATTATTATGAGACATATCGTGACATTCTTCTTGTCTTTTAAAAAAATAATAAAATCCTATTTTTTCATAACAAGTTTTTTTTTTAGTTTTAGTTTTTCTACAGGTACATTCTTTTTTTTTGCCAGAATTCCCATAATTCTTGAACATTTTAACGAATAATATCATTTGTTTTATCATAATCTTTCATTCCTAGTTCTGTAAAAGAAGGCACAATATCATTTTGCTCTTCATCCATATTTCATGTTGAGTTACAATTATAACCAACTGTTTATTAAAAAAAATCAAATTTACATCATAGCGAATTATAAATTTACTTTTAATATTAATGAATAGAAAAGTATTAGTATTGCTGTTATTGTTATATTACATATCAATCTTAATATCAGTGTAATTTTATTATTAATGATGTCATTATTGATGCTACATAACAATTAACAGTAGTACATGTATAGTAATGTAACACTGCAGTTTCTAATTTTATCTTCAATATCAAAAATTGTTTGAATGTCGATATTTTCATAAAAAAAAACAGCTCTAAGCATGGTTTTGCTGTAAACTCACCCATTTGTCAACTTTGCCCTCAACCTGTTTCTTTTTTCCAACAACTGAGTATATCACTACCTCAACATCCAACCATTCTGAACTTTTACAACTGTATTCACCCTCAACTCTTTTAACTCCATCTCCAAGCTCTGTATTTTTCTTCTTAATAAGGTTACCAATTGATATAAACTATAACTAAGTTTTATTAAGTGACAAAAAAAAAAAAAGAAAAAGAGAAAACAAGAAAAATTTTAAAGATAATATTCACTACCCATTCTCAACTTAGACTATTTCTTCTTCTTAATGAGGTCACCAACTGATATAAACTGTAACCAAGTTTTGTTAAGTGACAAAAAAGAAAAAGAGAAAACAAGAAAAATTTTAAAGATAATATTCATCACCTATTCTCAACTTAGACTATCCTAAAGCTTCATATAAGGCATTATTGTCATTTCTGCAAGCATGATGAACATTTCCAAGAAGACTTGTCAAGACATTATTACTATTATTATTATTATTGAAGTTGTTGTTGTTGATGTTTTTAAGGTTGTTGTAAAAATTTTACAAAAAAAAAAAAGAGAAGCAACAAAAAGGATTATAATTTTTAATAAACAATAGTGAAATAAAATTAGATATTAATGAGAAGTTAATTTACCAAATTTAGAAATCAATTAGAAATTAATTTAACAAATTTAAAATAATTAAAATTTGTAAGTTGCATGATTACAAATCACATGAAATCTTAGTATTTTATTGAACACTTTAAGTATCCTAATGATCTTCAAAAAGAGTACAGATTTGAAATTTTGTAATATTTCTGATATGGATTAACAGTCTAAGGCATATTACCAGGCTGTAGAGGTCATATATTCGAGACTGGCTAGGGTAAGCTTTTTGCTAGGATCCGAGTCTTGTAAGACCCTTGGTTGAAGTACTAGAAATAAAAATTTTTTTATACTCCTTTAAACAATTATACTTATTTTTATTATTATATTAGAATATTATATTTATTAGTTAGATATTGATATTTTATTAGTTTATATATATAGTATACTTATTTTTTAGTTTAGTTTTTATCTGGAACTAGAGTGAATAGATGTCTAAAACTGCATAGAGTAAGACAAGAGCTCTATACACTTTTATAATTATATTTAATTTCCTTTTCTATTGAGACCTATCTGATATTAAAGAAAATTTAGTCTAGGTAGTCAGTGTTCTAGCAACCTGGTTAAAAAAAATAGAAACTATTACTTATTACAACCTTAAGTACTTTTTGAAAACAGCAAATTTTCTTACAAATTTTACAAGAAGTCAAAGAAAATAATTAGAATCTCAAAGTAAATTCTATATTGTTTAGAATAATTTACTTTATAAATAAGATCGAAAAAAACAGACAACTTACCAATTACTTAATGTAATCCAAAAACATAAAGTAGAACTGATTCTCTACTTAATATATAACCATCTGATTGAAGCACATTTTGGAACAAATAAGATATTTGTACAAATTCAAGACAAATATTATTAATCACATATGTATAAAGATATTAAAAACTATATTCAAACATATAATATCTGCCAAAAAAAAGGAAAATACCAAATACCTGGACTTCTTCAACTGATTTCTGTAGAAGCACCATTTCATCAAATAGGCATAGATTTTGTTGAACCTTTACCTACCACTACTCAACAAAACAAGTAGATTATAGTTGCTATAGACTATATGACAAAATGACCAGAAGCAAAAGCTGTACCTAAAGCAGATGCCAAAAATACAGTAGATTTTATTTATAAAGATATTATCTGTCAACATGGATGTTCTACATATTTGCAGTTTGATAGAGGAACATATTTTAATAATGAGATAGTAAAAATGCTCACTCAAAAATTTAAAATCTAATACTTACTTTCTACTCCTTATTATTTACAAACCAATGAACTGCCTCACTTTAATATTAAAAAAAAAACATCATATATTTTGCTTTTAACAAAGAATTAATAACTCAAAAATTCTTGGCATTTATACTAAAATTAGACTACAACAACTTTAAAACAACCTCTAGTCTGCTATTAATATTTTTTAGCATAGCCAACCACTTATTAATAAACTTAATAAACTTATACTTAACTTTAAAATTATACAACTTTTATAATATCTTAGTATTTCTTTTTGACTTTTGTGTTTTTTATAAATTGTAAAGTTTTTATTTATATTAACTTTCATTTACTTTTTAATTTCTATAAAGAAAAGCATACTTCTATATCTGTATTTATTAGTTTAACTATAATAAGTTTTAGAAGTGATTTGCTAAACTCTTTATTATTATTTTTCTTTTCTCTTCTAATTATTTTAATTTATCTAGAATTCTTATCAAAATGTTTTCTATATATAAAGTTCTTTCTTTATATTAATTTTTAAATTGTGTTTCTTTGTTTTTCAAGTATTTTTTTTTAAAAAAAATTATCTAAATGATTAATCTACTCTTTTTCCTTTTGCTTTTAACTCTTACTATTAATTATTAATATTATATGTTTTGCTTTATTTGATTTTAATATTCTATATTTGCTGTCTCTTGATCTTGAAGTCTCTTATTCTCTTTTCAATTTTTCTTTTCTTTTTGATATTTTTTTTTATAAGTTTTTCAAGTTACTCTGTAGTTATTATACTATATTAGTTTTGTTTAGGCTAACTTTATTTTTTAAAGTTTACAAGATTATTATTACAAACTTCTTTTGGTTATTATTTTTTATTTAATAAGATATATGTAGATTTTGTTTTTTTTTGTTTTTTAAACAATATAATAGTAGAACTTCTAAAGCTCCTTTAGATATATTTAATAATTTTGTTGTAAATTAGTTCTGCTTATCTTTTTAATCATTATTTTTTTTTGTTAGTCTTGTAAGTTTACTGTTTTTCAGTAAAGAGATCAGAGAATATTTCTTTTTTTATAAAGTTAACTTTAATTATTATTAATAATTTGTATTGTATTTTTTTAATTTATATTATATGCAAGTTTTGAAAGTTTCTGCATATATATCTTATTTCTTTTTAATTGTTAAATTCTAGATTATTAAAAACCTTATCATTTTCACTTTTTTTTTATTTTTATTTTTATTTTCAACTTTGTCTAAGTAGATTTATTTAGCTTTTTTTGTATCATCTGTTTTGTTTATATTTTTCTTTTGTTTAATTTTTAATTTTTTTTTTTGAAATAATATTTAATTTTTTTTTTTCTTAGCTTTTTTAATTGCTATATTTTTAGTATATTTATAATTAAAGTCTATTATTATTCAGCTATTTCTTTTTTAAATTCTTTTTTAATTGATTTAATATGTTTATTATTTTTTAAAACTTATTTTATGTAATTTACTTTGTCTTTTCTATTATATTTTGATATATTAAATATTAGTATATTTACTTTAAATAAATTAATTTGATTATAAGCTTTATTTTCTAGTAACCATGGGCTATTTTCTGATGATACTGCTAATATTTAGTTTTTTAATATTCTAATATTATAATGTTTGCTTTTTTTTCTTTTTTTTGCTTATAGATCTTTTTTTTACTTTTTTTTTATAACCTTTTTTGCTATTTTTAAGTATATTATCTAGAGATACTTCTTAGTCTTTCTTAATTTTTTATCTTTTACTTTTGTTCTATCTAGATTTTTTTTTTGTTTTTACTAAAAGTTATTACATTTGTTTGTTTCATTAATTTAATATTTAGTTAGTTTTTTTTTTATAATATTAAGATATTTGATTTGTTTAGCAATTTTGAGTAGTTTTATTTCTTTTTTTTTATTTTAGTCCTCCTTTTTATTGTTATTTATATGTATCTAAATCTTGAGTTTTTTCAATTTTGATTTTTTTTTCTATATCTTTTATATTTTTTATTTTTTCTTAAATTTGTATATTATTTATGTTTGCTATATAGTTTACTGATTCTAGTTTTTTATAAGTTATTTAGATTTTTGTTACATATTCTTTAATTAGTGTATTGCTTAGAATTTTACTTTTTCTTTGTTAGTATTTGGTCATAAATTAGAAAGTTTATTGTTATAATTTTGTTAAAAATTATTATTGTTAAACTTTTGATTATATATTTACTATTATCAGAATCATAAAGTATTGTTGTTCTTAGTTTTTCAGTTAACATATTATTATCTATATATTTTAAATTTCTTTACTTAATCTAAAGATGCAATATAAAATTTTATGTAACTCTTTTATCTTATCTATTATATTTATTCTTAAAAAGATTTAGTTTATTAGAATACTTATCTATAATATAATTATTAGTTTAATTTTATATGTGATTTGTTTGTTTGTTGTTATTATATGTTTTGTAATTTTTTTTTAAAATAAAACATGTTTGTTTATTGTAATTTATTAGCATATATTGTATGATTTTGTTTTCTGAATGAAATTAAATTTTTTATAATTTTTTATATAAATTTTTTTTTAAGTTTAATAAGAATTGTAAAAAAGATCAAATCTTAAAATTTTAGAAAACTTTTGTTTTATTTAAATATATGTTTTTAGAAGTACTGAATCTTTTTTTTTAGTATTGCAATAGTTATTTTTGAGTTTAAATTTTTAAGTTTGTTTATATTTGTTTGGCACTGCTTTTGGTTTTCAAAATATTAGATTTTAAAAATTTATATTATTATTGTTTAATTCTGTTTTCGTTGT